GTGAGAGTAGTCGCTATAGCTGCAGCTCCAACCTGACGGGGGCTGAAGTGAAAGCTCAGTCTGCTGCTGTGAACCCGACACTTGGCTGCAGCAGGTGTCAGAGCAGCAGGTCAGCGGATCAGCGTGACTCCGACCGTCAGAGCTGCTGCTGCTGCTGTCACACTACCAGAGCCTCTTCAACAGGACGCACACACCTCTGCTGGACTACTGCTTCTTGTCGCTTATTCAGGTAACCTCACCATCTACCACTCTGTCAACATCAACAGAACGACCACCAGACCACACATTAATGAATTATATGACGTTAATTAAAGTTGGAGCACATGATGCAGCTGCTTCCCATGTTTGAACTGTGACACTTTTTTAGGAAGTTGAGCGACGCCACTTCTCGGTATCTCAACACGGTCCGGGTATGACTTTATCTTGACTTATGACTTGGAGAATTTGCATGTTTTTCCCTCCACAATCGGTAATATTCTTAAAACGAGTCTCACCGCATGTCACAGCGGCGGCAGCAGCATCAGCGGCCGGTGTTCAAAGATGGAATCCCGCCCCTTGGCACAAGCTAACACCTGCTGCCCTGCTAGCATGTCACTCAACTGTTTCCCATCGAAGCTTTTAGCTTTTAATTTGTACTTGTAAACAATTTAAAGCTTATACCTTGAGTTTTTTTTAAAAAAATCCATAATGTAATCTAAATGTGTTTTTAATTCTCCACCGAAAGGTTGAATTTAAACTCCATGACATTTTACCCAATTTAAACGGTAATTGTTTGCTACAGTTAAACAACTACATTTCCCAAGAGCCTTTGTCACTGTAATGCTGGTGAAGACTTCTGGGAGATGTAGTTTTTGGATGCTAGTCCCGACAGTACACCAGACAGCCTGTATTAGTGAGGTATGCAATATTGCAGACTTGTAAATAAATAAGCCCCCAAATTCGATAGATATACCTTTTTACTTATTTTTAATTGAATTAGTCATGTATGTATTTTTTATTTCGTTTAGTCACATCTAAACTTTAATTCTTTAATGTATATAAATTTGAAGAGTTCATTTGCAAAAACAGATATCTCCATCTTGACAAACCTTCAGAAAACCCACTTTTCCATCGTCTACCTGAGACAATATAAATCAAACTTAAGTTATCTCTATTTTTGTTGTGTCATTTTTACTGAGTCAAATCCACTCAACTCCAGTTAGATTGATATTATCTCAAGAAAACAAAAAAAAAAAGTGTTTTCTGAAAATCTACAAAAAATTAGTTATTTGTTTTTGTAAGTGAACTCTTTAATTGTAAAACATACTACAGTCAGGGTAGGAAGGGTAAATGTAAATGTACAACTGTACTGTGAACTGACACAACCTGCACCCACAACAAAGTCTTCAAACTGAGCTAAACTAAACATGCAAGCAGTGGACAAATATAAATACGTAAAACGGTGTGTATATATACACAGGTTGTGGTACAAACACAGTTATAACTTGTATGTTAATTTGTGGACAGTTTAGCACCCAAGAAAACCATCTGTTATAGACGCTGACATACATTTGGTCGACTGTTTCTTTACATCTGGGATCTGTTCTTGCTCAGGCTATGCTTCAGTAATATCAATATGTTGTGTGAAATGTGTCTCAAATAAATAGAAATTGTAATTTTTGAACAAATTCAGTCTTGTTACATCTATAAATACATTTATGTTCAAGTGCACTTTTGTAACACTTTTAATAAGTATTTTAATTTTCTTCCACTTTATATGAAAAAAATACTTTATTTATCCCAGAAGGGAAATTCAATCAATTATAATTCAATTATATTGTTATAACACTACATCCCAGAAAATATGTTGTACTGTTTCCCTTCCACTACATTCATCTAACAACTGTAGAAACTTTAAGCATTAAAATTATACACACAAAACTTGTGATCACCAAAAAATGTGACATTTTGATGTATAAAATGCTTAAAATCTGATCAGTGTTAAATTAGTATTAGACTGAAAAAAATCCATTCTGCATAGCAAACCCTTGTGATATAAACAGAGAAAGTCAGTGTGTGTTAGGACTGTCTCAGCAGTGAGGACATCAGTGACCCACAGTAACCTCAGTGTAGGGTGCATCAGCACTAAACTCATCCTGCAGCATTTCAGCATGTGCGCATGGGCACACGGCCTCAGCGAGCCGCTGAGTGTCATGTGATGCTGTGGTGTGGTGGCTCTGTGTTTTCGTCTCTCGTGGCAATTGGCTGAGACTGATCTTTCCATAAAGCAGTGATGGCACACATTCGTGAAGTCATGTGAGCATCTGCACACGTGAGTTATTTAAAAAGTAAGCCATGTCAAGTTTAAAAAAACAATCACTTGTGATTGTAGTATAAATAGACATATAATCTAAGCCGTCTCTATAAACACATCTTTACCTTTTTGAAGTTTATGTGAATCTATTTTTTTTTCCTGATTTTTGAATGAAAGCATCTTTTAAATAGAGATAATATTGTGAGGTTAAACGTAGAAAAGCTTTCATATTGCCAGCATTAGCAAAATATTGGTACTTTCTGTACCTCGCATATGACGTGACTTTGAGCAGGAAACTTGTGTACTTTCTACTTCCTCTACTTCAACTACGTGACCTACTGAGAGGCGCAGGTGGGAGTTAAGGGGAAACTGCGTTTAGGAAATTCTGGTATCAGTGCTACCTTTTTTTTTTTTTACTGCTGGTGATGCATGACTATTTGCTCTGTGAGCTGTATACATTCAAGTGTATTCATTTAAACTTATTCACATTCAGATTTACCCACAGCTTCAGGTGTAAAAATACCTTGGCTTGTTGCCCTACCCACACTTCCCTCACAGGCACATGCAGTTTACGAAGGGTCATGACCCGTTTGTCTGGTTGGGTTTCACTGCTTCGTTCACATAGTTGTTCAGACGTACAATGCTTGCCGAACCTTTCTTGCTATGGCCAGTTTATCCTCTGTTCCTATACGTGTTTCCTGTGTAGAGCTGCTGTCTTTGTCTCGGTATCTAGGCAAAAACTAGAAGTACAGGATTGGCTTGTCAAGCCCTGTAATTGGGCTGACAGTTTAGATTTTCAGTCTGAGGGCTAAAATTAGATGGACAAAAAGTGTTATGAGAAAAGCAGTCACAGCATTCATCCAGTTACGCTCTGCCAGTGCTCTGTAGGTTATAAGGTCATCGTGTGTTTTGCATTTAAAATCTTAATTGGTAATCTAGCCAGTATCTATAGATGTAAATAACTGCAATAGAATCAAAAGTAAAAAGTAAACGTACATGTAGTAGTTTGTTCCCATGGTAATCAGCGCAGAACTATTTTTAATAAAGTTATTCATTTGATTAGTTTTTTGAGCAAAAGTGCAAAATATGTGCTGTTTCACCTTCTCAGTATTTGATGCATTTCTCAACTTTATGTGATTGTCAACGGCAGGTTTTGTAGTGTTTGCCAGATTAAACAAGCTATTTGGAAACGTCACCTTGGACTTGGGAATCGTGTGAGGGACACGTCATTTTACAGATAATTTATTTTAGAGATAAAAAAAAAAAAGAAGTCCCTTAATCATTTTCAGATGAATCAGTGGTGAAAATAGTGATTATTTGTTGCCTTTAATGGATTTTTAGCAGATTAAATTAAGGAAAGGTAGAAAATAGAAATGCAATGGTTTTAGTGATGTAGGTCACAGGATGTGGGTGTCTTTGCAGCGTGCTTAAGGATGATTTTGGTCCGTGGAAAGTCAAGAAGTGAAGCCAGCACAGCTGCACTTGCAGTCTGGCCTGAGAAATCTTTGCATACAGTTTGTCCGATGGTAACCTCAGCCGGCATATCTGCAACGTGTGTGCAAGGCGGAGGGGGGGATGGGGGGGGATGGGCTGGAGTTTCATAGCATCATCTGTCAAGACTCAGTGTGTGCGCGCGCGCGTGTGTTTGTGTGTGTGCGCGCGCGCTTCCTCACAGCTACTTCCCCCACCGTATTCATTTGGCTTGCGTGGCCTTATATGGAAAGTGGACTTGTGGTGTGAGCAATTTCATCCAATCAGGAGGCTGGGGGACGGGGAGGGGAGGGGTGAGTGGAGGAAGCTGGCGGGCCCGGCTGGGTGGGGTCTTCAGGGGGCGGGACCAGCAGAGCCGGCTCGTGTTTGAAAATGAATGATACGCTGCTCAAGTTGTAGACACAGCGGACGGTCGGTCGGTCGGTCGGTCGGTTGGAGTATTTCTGTGTTTGTGTTTCGGCAAAACTGAAGCCGCGGCATTTATAGAGAGGGAAGAGGAAGAGCGGACGAAAAACCTCTTTAACACAACTTGGAAAAATAATTAGTTTCCAGCAATGCAACGTGAGTATCGCAGCTAAACTACATCTTTTGATGACATGTAACTGGGAGGTTTCCCTTCTACCGTGAACTTCCTCTGACACATCAGGTTTGGGAAGAAACTCGTTAATTCGTGAGAAAATCAGTGGATTATATGTTTGTTCCATGTGTGATGCTTGATTTGATCTGAGTTGAGATGAATCGTGTCTCTTGTGCTCTAGTATGACTCACGAGTTATCATTGGTTTGCTGTCATCAGTTCCTCTGTAATCATCTCTCTTTATCTTGATGTGAGTTCAGCCGTGATGGAGGGATGCTCTGTATGAAGTCTGTCCGTTTAGGAAGCTGTTGCAGTGTGTGGCTGGTCTTCATCTAGACAACAGACCTGGTGCCTTGATAAAAGGGTGTAACCCAGACAGCAGGTCTGTGCGCTGCGTTGCTCTGCTGTTGTTAAAGGAATACTTTTAAACCCCCTTTTTTATATATAAAAAACCCCTGCACTGACTGACAAATATTAGCAGCTGGAATGAGAATGGTGATGCTGAGGATCACGCCCAGCCCTGAGCTGCTCCACTGGGTGCTGTTTGGAGGCGGCGGCTGGCTGAAGGTGCAGCTCATGCAGGACGTTGATCTGTAGAAACTGAGTGCGTCTCTTTTGCATTTTGAGCTTTACGTCTCAGACAATCAAGTGGATGTGGTTGTTATCTTGGACAAAGAGAGACAAAGCATGAGGAAAAACGACAACATTGAAGGGAGGGGTGGGGTTTTTCTCTTCTGTTTGACGGGGGATTAACCTAACTGAAGTTTTTTTTATTGGGGAGAGTCCCTTGTCCCCCTGCTTCTTTTTCAGACAACACATTTATCTCCTTCACTATTAATCAGTGATGATGCATAAGAGGTTTAAGTGTTGCGATCAACCCAACTGCTGCTGCATTTCTCCTGAAGGGACCAGCTGTTGCTATGCATGACTCTGCTCTACACTCATAATCCTGATTGCATGAATGCAGCGTCTCTGAAGTGATGTCAGTTTGCGCAGTGGTACTAAAGCCATCAGATAAATTATCCTCGGCTTTGGCTCGGCTGCGCTATGACAAGTAAACTTCATAAAAACGCACAAGAAAAGACGAAAAAACAGGCTTTGTGTCTTTCTTGATTGAAAGAAATCCCAAAAAGTGAAGGCAGCTGAAAGCAGTTTCTGTAGTCGTGCAACAGATAATCAAGAAGCAGCTACTTTGATAAACAAGCATCAGTCAGTTTGACATTGCAAACATGGAGGATTTTTTATGTTTTTTGCTTTTGGTCACCAAAAAAACCCCAAAACAGATAATTGATGACAGCTTTCATGAGCTGGGACAACACTCGTTCCCAGTTTTTGGCTTTAAGGATTCACTAAGAAGATGTTTGTCACTGGCAGCCTTGAAGAGTTGAAGCAGCTGATTGGCAGGTTGGTCTATCCTGAACATAACCATTAGTTGCCCCTACTTCTAGAGGATTTAGATATTTTACTTATTTGATTGTTCAGAGGATCAGTTGGAGGGGAAGTCCACAAACACATCCTATGTCAGAAAACCTCTACAATTGCAAATACAGGAAAGTGAAAGTTCACCAGACAATGTAATTTTAGGCAGATTGTGGTTCAGTAACGGCGGTCACCTCGATGACCAGCGGTTGATGCTGGAAGGGTTTTTCTCTGAAGCACTAGCGAGCTGGCCACACTGGAGCTTAATGAGAATCGCACATCACTAGCTTTGGTGTGTGATGCAAACGTGATGAGCTCATGTGAGGATGGCTCATCAGGAGAAAGCATTTGAAAGGAGAAATAAATGGGGGGCGAGTAGAAAATAGCCCCGGGGCTTTCTCCACTCTGATGTTTTTAGGCTAAACATCTCACATTACAGGGTTCACAAGAGACCAAACCTTGTTTAAGATCAGCGTCACGCCCCAAACTTTCCCATCCCAAGACCACAACAATGACAGAGTGAAGAAATAAGAGGAGGGGTGTTTTTTTTTTTTAACGCCCGAATAAGCTGATCTGAGGCCTGCCTGCCTCCACCCTCAGCTCGTCTTCAATTTAGCACAGTTTAGAAAACCACATCCACCCACAGCTGTGTCCTTAAGGAATCTGCAGCTGCACTGGGAGGAAGAGGTGAAATAAAACGTGTCCAGAGAGACCTTCAGGGCCTCCAGAGGAATCAAACTGAAGCGTTCTCGGGGTCAGCTGGTCGCCACACCACCAAGGGAGTCTTTATTTTCTGTCAGAGCAACGGTGACGATGGTTGATGGCACTCTGAAGTGGTGCCTGCCAGAATTTTAGGAATGTTTGCAATTTCACGGCCACCACTTTAGATACAACTCACATGTTAAATACTCCATTTAACCTGTTTTTCTGATTGCTAAGGGGAAGGCGTGGTCGGCAGATACGTGTCAAACCGTAGCGCTTCATGGGATGTATTTTTGTTGCTGCTCTCTGACCTCTCTGAAGCCTGTTTCTTTCCACTTGCCCAAGACCAATTGTCCCTGACAGGCGAGCCATGATAGGCTGCTGCCACAACAGACAGACGAAGCTACTGGTATGTGTTTTCAGCCCCCTTAAATAAACTGGTTAGACCTGCGATTTACAGAACCAGGCAACAACAGTGGCTTCAATGAGGTTTGACGAGGTTTCTGTGATGAGGTAATGGCAGAGGCAGGAAAGGATTCTCCCTCCAACAGTTCTGAAATGGTACCGATGGCACGCTTTGACATGCTGGCTGGCATGTAAGTGATACAGAATAGTTGAGAGAGGAGAGTACAGTCAGGCTGTTTGTTTATCCTCCACCGTCCCACATTTTCTTTTTGCGGTATATCTCAAAATTCGGATTTTCTTTTATCTACGCGGCTGTCATTGGATTTTAATGAGACTGGGCTTTTTACTAAGTCTTTTTTGACTAAGCAGCACAGTAAAGAACACCGCTCTATTATTCGTAGAAGGACAATGTTATGTGTAGTGCTGCCAGCGAGGCTCCATATGTTCCTCACACTGTTGCTATACAGTCAGATTTATTCAGCAGGACAATATTTGTTTAACAGCACATAAAGCCATCCGTACAGGTGCCGTCGGGTAATTTCCTACCAACATGTTACACGTTTGAGCGCTGTGTTCATTCAGCAGAGCTAGGTCTTAATGTTGTGATCAGTATTTGGAGCTGTTTACATTTCTAAATGACTGGTTTTTACTGAACACGAGTCAGAAACAGGGTTTGATGGGTGGAGCAATGTTTTTTGGGCTTTTGTTAGTCAAGAGGCAGTCACATACGCCGTAGACGTGCCTATAAAGATGCATTTTTTAACCTTACATTTGATGCCAGGTAATAGTTATGCATGTGAAGATCAGCGTAGAAGCTCCTAAATGTCTTGACGTGATCTGAATACCAAATTACTTACAGACTTTACAAAACAAATCTCCTCTACGCATATCAGTCTGTTGGTAAACACACTGCCGAGGTGCAGGATCGCCTGAATGAAGTGTCGTCTTTTGTTTTTCTGGCATTTTATAGCCAAATAATAAACTGATAATAAAAAAACAAGCTCCGGGAGAAGAATCTCCATTATTCATCATAAAACAAAGAAGGCAGCGCGTCAGCAACCCAACTAACAGCTTTATGAAATGATTCACTAAGAGACGGACGGGAAAGATTTTAGCATTACAAAAAAGGTGTGATGTTTTAATCCTCGTTTAAACCCTGAGGAGATCTTTCCTAGTACTGTTCTTTCCCCACTTGACGATGCACCTGATGCAATGTTGGAATGTTGTCGGCACCTCTCTGAGTCATCGTCTGTCGCAGTTTTCCTGCTGTGGATGTTTTGTGTCAAATGTGGCTGACAGGCCCTGACGCCGCTCTCTTCCAGTGATCGTGTGCGAGCCCGCCGCCATGTCTGAAGCCGCGGTGATGGAGCCTCCTCGGGCGGACGGCTTCCTGGAGTCGTCCTGTGGTGCAGTAGACAGCGCAGCGTCCCTCGATGACGGCATCGTGGACACGGCGAAGTAGGTTTCCCTCACTAAATACTGCATGGTTTTACCTCTGCAGGGCCTCTAAAAATAATGGTTTGAAGCACTCACAGATCAGAGATATGTGACCTGTGGTGGCAGCTTCTGAGTTGACTTTGGGTTGTTTTTACCTCCACGGATTACCTTCCAGTCACTGTTTTCTGCTGCTGAAGCTTTCATGATATAAATACTATTTTAAATGTGTAATTGTCAGACCTGCAGTTGAGATGAAGGCATGTGATGTGTCCCCACCTACAGTCGTCCTCAAATGTATTCATTCCATTAAAGAAAAGGCAAAATTCACAATCGTCCCTCAAATGATGAGAAACTAAAAAAATAATAATAATAAATTAAAATTTGCTAAATTATAATTTAGTGAAATAAGATGTTGCTTTTGAATTGTGGTTGAAAAGAATAATTTTAAAAAACAAACAAAACTGTCCCGGACAAATGAGATCACTTTGCTGATGAGCAGTGGTCCAGAACACCTGTCAACAGGTGAACAAGTCTGACTGAGAGTTACAGCAAACACCTGATGGCAGTGATTGGCTCAGAGGGTTGTTCAACTAAATATTAGTTTATGGGTCTCAGCATGCTGTTTTTTTTTTTTTTTTTAATTTTTCTGTTGAACCACAATTCAAAAGCACGATTTTCCTTAAATTTTTATTTATTATTACGTTTGTCGATTTCACCTTATTCCAGTGACTGAAGATGTTTTTTTCCTTCTTTAATAGGAGGGTATGAATACATGTGAGGACGACTGTATCTCAGTGCCGGGTCACGTTGGTGCCTCTGGTTATTCCCCAGGATGTGACAGATTACAGCCGTCCTGGGAATCTGCTCACCTGTGTAATGTGACGTGTTTTTTTCCATCCTGTTACTTAGTGAGTCCTCAGAGGAAGAGTCCACGGGGGAAAGGGAGGAGGAGGCTGGTGTCCCCGATGCAGCCCCCAGCAGCACCAGGACTCCAGAGGCCCCTGCTGAGCACAGCTCCAACACACAGACGGGTGAGGCCCGAGGTCCGGCGTGTTTACTCTTTCTTGGTCCCTCCCTTAACTCTAACATTTGTGAGGGTGGTGCAGCCGGATTCAAATAATGATAAGAAATATACGATTAGAGTACACGTTCAGGTCGGATCCAGTCGCTGAGCTCTGCTCTACTTACGTCAGCTTTTGTGACTGCGCTTTATCTGCGGACGTTTTTCCTCAGGAAGCAGACCGAACAGAAATTAGTGAACTCCACATTCTTTGGCAGAACAAACTTCACTTCCCCTTTCCTGCCTTTAAACTCCATTTGGACATTCCATCCGGCTGCAGAATCCTGCTGCCCACAGTACTTTCTCCACAATATCTAACAATAGGAAAAGTGTACCTCTTACTATGATTCAAAGTGAAATAACCGTAATTACACTTTTTTTTTTTTTTCAAATGAGGTCTGTAATAGATCAGGTCAACAGCTTATTATGGTCATTTATTTTCATAAGAATATACACTAAAACCATCTTTATTTTCCATTCTATCTACGGGACAGAGTGACTGAGGGAAGTATAATTTTATTGCAGTATTCATGTACATATAAGTTCCTGTTCGTAGAGTTTTCTATGGGAACATTTTCACCCCCCTTGAATGGCTCCATGTGCTGATAACCAGCTGTGTGTCATAAACCCACTATATGACCCCATCATATATTTAAATCAGCCTGTGGCCGTTGGGTCGGTAACACATCTTTCTTTCTGACTGTAGAAATACAACACGGATTGTAATGAGTTTTAAAATCGGCGGGGTTTTGTTTCTGAAGCTTAGGTCGCAGTCCTAACTCGTAGTTGCTGAGGTCTCTGATAAAAGTAGGTTAAGCAGACAGTTTTATCTAAAGGTTATCTGGACCAGCACCTTGGAGGTGTGCTTTCACTGTTTGCTCTCTGGTCTAATAAGGTTTGACAACGAGGTACAGCCTGCATGATCGTCTGACTGCTCGTTTCCTTCATATCGCTGTAACGACTGTTCAGCGTTATTACAGCCAACAGAACAGGTGGCCGGAGTTAGATCAATGAAGCGTTGTGTTGTAACAAATCAGGATTATCAACATTTTGACATCTTTAAGCCTAAATGTTAATTGAATCAGAATCAGAAGCTTTTTTATTGCCAAGTGAGCTCGCACACACAAGGAATTTGCCGTGGTGAATGAGACTCACAACGATAACAAGACAAGAATAAATATAGAAATCAAAAGTATAAAAGTACTACGTAAATAAAAAGTACTATGGGAAGAGAAATAAGCCAAGTAATAAATTAGGAAAAAGATTTATATTAATTGGGTCATTTATTGGACGATGATCATCTGTCCTTTAAGAAAGATGCTTGTTAATGCACTCCCTTTAGTGTAGCTTGTGTTTAAAAGTTCTGTTTTTATTTACAACTGTAATAATGATAATTACTCCTTTTTTTTTTACTATGTGTACCTTTCAAGCCCTCAAAACACAATTGTGATGACAAATAAGAGTCTCAAAGTCAATGTTAGTTCACAGTATTTGTGAACCAACATTGACTTTCTGTTTCAGAGAAAGCTGCATGCAGACAACCCTGAAGTAAAGGCTTACTGTTGCTCATTAGGGCCTCGCTGTGGGTCCTGTGAGCTCTGTGGCTTGGATTAGTTTCGCTCCTTTGCTTGGTGACCTGTGCTTGTTTGCAGCTTTGCAAAGAGCCAGTGGGTATCCCCGCTGAAGCCACAAATGCAGCACGGCTACTGCAGCTCACATGGGGATAAACAGGAGACTGTAGCAGTGAACGTGGTTCTACGTGTTATCATAGAAACAAGAGTGAAAGGCTCCATGACTGAGGCTTTTTAACGAAGCTCTGATATCCTTTCACAGTGAACGCCCAGCGCCCAAACTCCCTGTCGGTGCCGGCAGCAGCAGAGCACCGTCTGTGGACGTCACAGCGCGATGCAGAGGTGAAGCTGAGGATGGGCGACTCTGGCCTGGCTGCTGAAACCCCTTTGACAGTCAACCAGATGTTCACGTCAGCTGTGGAGCGCTTTGGCACCTACACAGCCCTGAGCTGGAAGGAGGGCGAGCAGCAGAAAAGCCTGAACTACAAAGATTACTACCAGACCTGTCGCACCGCTGCCAAGAGCTTCCTGAAGGTAGATTTTAAACCATTTAAGTGAAGCTCTTTGTTTGAAATGTGATTGATTTGATGATGTCCATGTTAGGAACAGTTAACTAAATGACTGGCTGAGGGACAGAAAGTGACTGTTTTCATTCTATTAATACCGTCTATGGCTTCTCTGGTGTGAGAATTCGGTGCTTTTCTGTGTTTAATATTATTATAAACTTAATATTTTGGGGTTGTGGATTCTTGGTCAAACAAAACCAGACGTGTACATATGAAACATTTGGCTCTGGGAAATCCGAATAAACATTTTTCACAATTTTCTGATACAAAAAGAAAAAAAAAAAGAATTTAATCTGCAGATTAATCAATGATGGAACAAACACATTTGTTCCTTGCAGCCGTCACAAACAGTCGACTGTAGCTCAGACATCAGATCATATTTCACTCTGACTGACATGTAAGGTGTATTTTTCCACGTGTGGTTAACCAACTGCTGAACAGTTTAGCATTTGCTGGTATAAATATGAAAGAACGAAGCACAAGATGTTGCTTCATCAGAGGAATTCCCCTCAGTAGCCTCAGTAAAACAGAAAGTTGTGTGTAGCTCTTTTACAGAAACTTTTTTGTCCATCCACTCGGCCTGAGCTCAGTTCTCCTACATTATCACAGCTTTTCTGTTTGCTTGTAAACAATCGACTTCAGTTGCCATTGTTTTAAAGGCTTGTGTGGATTTGATTTTACGCCAAGTCGGTCTAGACAACGTGCGACGCAGCACGAACGGGCTGAGAAGTCATCAAGACGGAGGGCAGCGCAGGACAGGCCTCCGTTGTTCATGCAGGACAGAGCACGTTGTTGTTTGTTGTGAAACGCTGTTAGTCAGCAAGGAGCGTCGTTCCAGTGAAGACGCTTACAGAGTCGTACCTACGTGTTTCCTTCAGTACTTACCCACACGAGTTAGTTTGAATCTGATGCCCCCACACATGCGTTTTCTTCCACATCACGCCTGACGATGTAAAGCTCACAGTGATGAAGTGTTTGACCGTCTCATTCAGGACGGGGCTGCATTTCTACCTGGAGCTGGAGCTGTTATGAGTTATTTAAAAAGCTGTTTTAAACTTGCTATCAGCTCACGTTGTAATGGGCTCGTGTACATTTGACTGCTTCCACTGAAACAGCTGCCGTAATAACGCGCTTCAGCTGATCGCTCTGTTGATCAGCAAATCTGCTGCTGGCTGCTCAAAACCGCCTCGAAATGATTAAAGACAAACGTGGTGTCAGAGCGATTTCAAACCACATACGGAAAATATAGGTTTTTATAGAAGAAGGGGGGCATTTATTAGCTCTAAGCTTAACATAAAAATGATCATGTTCAGTGCTGTAAAGGCTTCATCTGACAACAATATTGAAATTGTGCATTTGTCTGCTTTAAAAAAATGTGCAGCTCAAGCAATCAAAGGAAATTTCAATCTGGATCTTTTTTTGTATGTTGCTCTCCTCTTTCTGTCTGTTGTCCCCTCTCAACTTAATACTCTTAATTAAATACAAAAATTCCCCCAAAAGTTAAAAAAAAAAAATTAAGGAAAGGCATGATAAGCTACTAACTACCAAGGAGCGAGACCGCATTATATCTGAATGGACCCTGCCAAAGTAAACTGGCGTTTTGTGTGCAGCTGGATCTGCTGAAACTTCCAGTGTTATTCCTCAGATTGCTTAATAGTGTGTTTTTAGAATCCAGCCTAAAGCGTGCACATGTCTCTCTGCAGCTTGGTCTGGAGCGCTACCACGGTGTCGGGATCCTGGGCTTCAACTCCGCTGAGTGGTTCATCTCAGACATTGGGGCCATTCTGGCAGGGTGAGCTTTATCTTCATCTGTGACTTCACAAGTTTATGTGACTGTTGATGAACTCAATGTGCGCTCGCTGAGAGTTTCATAAAGATCTCTGTCTACGTATGTATGTGAGTGCCATTGTGCCTGTGTGTGTGCATGTCTTCCATACCTGAGTGATGCAGTTTAAGACTTGAATTATTGGTTGTCATTCAGTTCTGCACGTAGCCTCTTAGGTTGAAGACATCTTGACTGATCGATTTATAGATCACAGCAGTGTGCTGAGCAAGAGGACTGTAGTGGTGGAAACTAATCAGCTAAATACAGTCGTGACTCGATTATCTGAC